GAATAGAATAGAATAGAATAGAATAGAATAGAATAGCTTTATTGGCCAAGTGTGATTGGACACCCAAGGAATTTGTCTCTGGTGCAAATGTTCTTAGTGTACATAAAAGAAAAGAGACATTCATCAAGAGTCCAGAATCATCAGGTACAACACGTAATAATAGTCATGGGTACAATAAGCAATCAAATCGTACTAGGAAATGACAATGTTCGTGTTAAAAGCAGGAAATTGCAGGAAATTGTTATTGTAGGGGAAAAAAACCACTTAGCAAGATGATCAAAGATTTGGGGAACACTCCAAATTGTTGCTTCGCCGAAAGACTCATTTAGAAGGTGGTGTTTTAAAAGTACAAGTAACTCCTCGTCTTACGACCGCAATCAAGTCCAAAATGTGTTGCTAAGTGAAACATTTATTACGTGAGTTTGTCCCATATTACGACGTTTTTCCGCCACAGCTGTTAAGGGAATCCCTGTAGCTGTGAAATTAGTCAGACTGTCGTTAAGTGAACCTGGCTTCCCTGTGGAAGGTTGCAAAAAGGAAATCACGTGACGTGATTTTGTTAAGCGTGAAAACTGGTCATAAAATTATTTTTTCCGTGCATTATAACTTGGAATAGTCACTGAATGAACTGTCGTAAGTCAAGAACTGCCTGTACTTACTGAAATATTTTGAAACCTTTGTACATATTCAAATTTGCATTCCAGGTTTGAAAAAAAATATGTGGTGTTTATCATTGCACCTTAATGGGCTTAAGTCAAGCTTCCATTTCCTTAGAGATTTAATGAAACACAAAATGTGAGATTTTTGGAGAGACAAAATTTGAGATTTATGGGCACAAAATTTGAGATTTATGGAGATACAACATTTGAGATTTATAGACACACAAAATTTGAGATTTATGGAGACACAAGATTTGAGATTTACGAGACACAAAATTTGAGCTTTATGGACATGAAATTTGAGATTTATTGAGACACAAGATTTGAGATTTATGAGGCACAACATTTGAGATTTATGGAGACACAAGATTTGAGATTTATGAGGCACAACATTTGAGATTTATGGAGACACAAAATTTGAGATTTTTTGAGAGAAAAAATTTAAGATTTACGGAGACACAAAATTTGATATTTTTGGAGGCACAAAATTTGAATGCCTCTGAAGAAAATTGTATACAGTTTTACTCTTTTTTACTTTTACTCTTTTTTATTCTGTCATTAAAGGCACAATAATCATTGAAGAGAGGAAAAGCAGCTGCTGTATTTAGAAAAATCACAGCAACCCATATGTCATTATTTTTAAAAACACACCTTAATCTTTTAAGGACAATTTCTTACCTGCCAGAAACGACCAGGGTTCCATCATCCAGCAAATAATCCTTGACGTTTTGTGGGATTGGAAGGATGACACTAAAATGGGAAAAAAGGATTAAAACTAAATAATTTTAGAGAGCTTATAAATCTGAAGACACAAAAAAGAAACTACTTGTTTTGTACACTTTATGCAAATGCCTGCTGCTAGGGCAGTTCAGTTATACAGAGAGTCCTCGACTTACAACGGTTCGTATAGGGACCGTTCCGAAAGTTAGAATGGCACTGAAATATGGGCGTTTTTCACAGTTACGATGTTTGCAGCCTTCCCACGTGATCAAAATTCGGCCGCTTGGTAGCTGACTCACAGTTACGATGGTCGCTGCGTCCTGGGGTCACGTGATCCCCTTTTGCGACCTTCTGGCCAGCAAAGTCGATGGGGAAGCTAGATTCGCTTAACAACCACATGATTCACTTAATGACGGTGGCAGGAAAGGTCTTAAAAAGGTCACTTTAAGAAACACCTTGCTGAGCAACAGAAATTTCTGGCTCTATTATGGTCGTAAGTCGAGGGTGAACTGTATTCACTGTATTCTCATTCCAATCCCCCAAAATAAAACAAAACCAAAACGCTGAGAAGGAAAAAAAAACAATAAAAGTGTGTCAAAATGTAAAACACTCACCAAAAAGGGGGTTGGTCTAGAAGACCTCCAAGGTCCCTCACAACTCTGTTATTCTGTTATCTTAAGTTTCTCGCTCTTTTTTTCCTTTTTTTTAAAACATCAGCTGATGTTTTCTTTAAACATCATTTCTTTTCTTAAACATTTAAAGACTCCAACTGCATCCAGGTCATCCTTGACTTATGACTGCTTGCTTAGCGCCTATTCAAATTATGACAGACTGACCTGGGGACTACTTAACGACGCCGATTCAAAGGTCCAATAAATTTTGGTCTCTGGACCACATTTGCAACATCCCGTGATCACGCCTTGAGTTTTATGACAATTTCCCCCAAAAAACGGCAACCGCTTCCAGCAAAACCACACCCCTAACAAACTGTTATGACCCAAAAGGGGCGTGGCACAAAGGCAACACAGTCACTTAAGCAAGAAGAATCCCTTTAGTACCTCCAATTTTGCCCCCAATGTCCAGGTTACCTTCGGCTGGAGAAAAAACTCTCCCAAGAACAGCCTTTAAGTGGAGGAAATTCTGTCCGAAAACAAAGTACATACAAACTATAACTAAAAATCCAAACAAACCAAGCTGAAGTAATTAACTGTACAGGGCAGGAGAAGAAATTGCAGAGTTGAAAGGCCAACAAAACACACACAGTTGGGAAGATGCCGGGAACCCAGATAAGCCTCGACAATAACAGATAAATTCACAATTTGCACCCAACAACTTGCTGTGCGCAGCTTTCCTTTTTAAACACTGTGTTCCCAGCTGCAGCTAATGAAGGGAATCAGGGCCCTTTTCTCCCCCATATTGCAACCCACATTGCTCCTTTCTCTGTTCCTCCCTGCGTGCCCTAGGATGAAGACGGGGTGGGCCTGGGTCTTCCTCTGAACCCCCTCTCCCTTGTTCTACTTCACCCCTGCTCTGCCCAGCCGGACTTTGCCCTTCCCCTGTTTCTTCCACAGCTAACAGAGCCACACTCCCACTCACTGTCAGCTGCTCGGCCTCCCTCTCCGAATCAGATTCCGACAGGGACATGACACCAACCTTACTACAATAATATTCTCATAACTGCTGTACAAAATCGTGTCTTACGACTTCGATGGATACACTCCATTTTGGCCATAAATCAAGGACTATCTGTATTAAGGGGTTAATTCTGCTTCACATAGCTTAATTCTGAAAAGCATCACTTCTGAACAAAGGCACAAATCTAAAGACTGGCTGATTCTGTCTTGCATACAGAAACCTTACATATGAACTATTAGAAATCTCTAATTTCCAATAAGGTGTATCAGCAGAGAATTCTATAGAAATAAGCCTCTATCTAAAAATTTATGGAGATTCTCAGCCATCCAGGTCATGGTTGTCCCAAAGGTGCTTTTTCAAGAGGCAGCTGGACTTTGTTTTTCTTTGAAGATGTTTCGCTTCTCATCTGAGAAGCTTCTTCAGTTCTATCGTCCACTATTCACTCCAAACTGAGGAAGCTTCTCGGGTGAAAAGCAAAACCTCTTCAAAGAAAAAAACCGGAAAGTCCAGCTGCCTCTTCTTGAAAAAGCACTTTTGGGACAAGCCTTCCATCTAATTCAAGGTAAAATTTAGTCTCCGGTACCTGCGAATCGTCTGCTTCTTGAAATGAGGATACCAGGAAGAGAACTGACAGTTGAGCATCTGTTCTTTCTTCATCTTTCTATTCCAAAGACGGCGGTCAGCTCTGTGTGAAAGGAAACAACACAACGTAACATTTGAAGATGAGTGCAGACAACCGTTTTTACCCCATTCATTAAAAGTGAGGAGGACTGAGTAGTGAGACTTGGGAGTTTCTTTTAATATTGTTACTGAATGCCAAATATTTTACTCTGTATTGCAGGTATCTATGGGAAGGAGAGGTTTTAAGAAGGGCAAAGAGTTTGAGCAGCGTTGCTTTTTGGGGCTGAGATTTTATTTCCCTAGCCGGGGAAATATCCTCAGCCTTCAGTTTGGATCTAAAAAGTGTTTATTTCACTTCTGAGTGTCAGGAATTCTGGCAATGTTGGCTTGCTGTTCCAGCTGGCTCAGGAATTCTGGGAGTTGAAGTCCGCAGGTCATAGAGGGGCCACAGTTGGTGAACGCTGTTCTATAATCACAGAATGACCTGTCCCAATCCCGGGGTTGGACCCACCTTGCAATCCCTGGGACCTCGCCGAAACGTCGCCAAAATACTCTTAATCTTACAAGGGAAAAGACCCGAACACACCTAGACCTCATACCTGTACCCGTGAAAATCTACGAAAACATATACATGTACATATACATATATGCATACACATACAATTGTGTGTGTCTTTGTGTGTGTGGGCCTTTGAGTGTGTGTGTGTGTGTGTGTGTGTATCACCATCACTTATGCTTATAAGTGCTTATTCACTTATGTAATTGGCAAACCTAGCAGACACACCCAGCCCCCAACAACAAGCTCTGCAACAGACACGTGTCTGCGCGTGCATTCACACGTATCCTCCTCCCCCCGCCTCTCCAGTTCCCTTCTTTTACCTGCTTACACCATCGTCCCAGCTGCTCCTGGAGGATCCGACCAATCAACGAGCGCGGCAGGCGGAACTTCACGGCTTCGTCTTCTTCTTATTGGGTAAGGCGTTGTCCTTCGACTAATAAAAAAGCCTGCGTCGTTAAGCACCGCCCTCAAGGGAAAGCCGGAAGACTAGCTTTCTTTGGAGCTGGTAAGTGACAGGCATATCGGTCATCCAATCAGTGATAAAGAGTGTAGGAGGTTCTCGGTCAGTCATGTAGAGATACGTATTCAAAACTTCTCAGGCGGAACTTTAGTTTTACAAAACACCCAGTGCTTTGTTTTTGTTCTGAAACAAAATATCATTTAAAGCTTTGCTGATATTAGATCTCGACACGTAGCTTATTTGAGTTAAAAATCTGTAACAATGACCATAAATCACCTCATAGAGACTTGAGGGCGACTCTAAATTTCCTATCTCTAGGACCTTCCTTCGCGCTTCCAAACAGAACGAAGGAGCGGGCATGCGTACAAAGTCGCTCGCCAGGCGCATGCGTGACAGAGTCGGCCACCTATAGGGCCCCTACCCATCGGACGGTCTCCGGGAGAGCTTCGTGATGTTTTCAGCCAATCAGCGGAGCGGAACGGAACGGAACGTTCGCAGAGAGAGACTGCTTCGGCTCCTAGCTCGGGAAAACGGTGAGCAGAGAATCAGAGGTGTTCTCCTGCTGCTCACTCGCGAGTCTCGCAGGAGGGGAAGGTTAGCAGCTTGTTGGGGGCTGATGCGGGGAGCAGAGAGAAATGGAGCATGTGCAGAGTGTCTAGGCTGAGGAGCTCCCGACTTGCACTACTACATGCCTATTGTTTAGAGTGGGTTGCAAAGTGCAGACAGTAAGCCATATTTTTCAAGCTCTGCAAATTTAAGATTAACAGAATTCTGGGAATTGAAGTCCGCTTAAAAGTTTCTGAGTTTGAGAAATTTGGGTTTTTTAATGGCATTAAGTGGCTACAGTCTGGCTCGTTTTCCTTTTATCTTCTGTTTTGCAAAATCCACCAGTTATCTAATAATTAACAAATAACATATTCAAATATATTCTGATATATATATATATATATATATGGTGTTAGGCTTGGTTCGGGTATTTTCCCACGTCATTGTAGTTGTTCTTTTAAAGTTGTAGCAACGTTTCAGCAGAATCTCATCTGCCATCATCA